AGTAGCCGGAGGCAAAGAGATCTACACATCACTGCACGTCCGCTTTGATTTGACTGCTCAGTGGGCAGTCGTGCGCGAGTAAGAGCTCGTCGACACTTGACTTTGCTACTTGTTTCTGCCTGCATACGTAGGATGTTGGGGAGCTTTTCATCGGTATAGCGGTTTATATAGGTTTTTGGCCGCCCTCTATGACAGACTTTCATAATTGTGGTGAAAAACATGAGACTGAAGGGGTGGAAGCGAACACACAAGCCTGTTTCAATGCACTTGTCACGGCAAGTGCTTCTGAGGCCAGCCCATTGTCGGTGATGTGAGCTTTCATGCCGGCGTTCAGTTGTGTGACTAACTTCATTAATCGTTCCGGACATCCAAGTATCGTTAGGGACTTGCCGGTTACATTCAGATCCGCTATTTCGAACGCCTTTTCAAGCCAATAAGCAGTGCTGCAGAGACGGGTTCTCATTTTGGCACATTTTTCTCAGTTTACGGGCGTTTAAGACCATGTCGATGTTATCCGGTGCTTCAGAAATCGACAATGTTTTTTGGAAGATACCTCCGGTACAGTTCTGTGTTCAAGCGGATATATCGGCTTTTCAGTTAGTGGGCAGTACCGCAGACCTGGTGCTCTTGGACGGCGGAACCGCACGACCAGTGGATGGCATACATTCCTCGCCTGTAGCGCCACGAATAGGTGCACAGCACGGAAGTTACACCCCGGTAACCGTTCTGACCGTCGGATTAAACCAAATGAGGGCGTCCGGTATGTGCCTGTTCAATGTGCTTGTCCATGTCTGGTATTCCTCTCCCTAGACCTTGTCCCACTCATTCCACCAGTACAAACAGCCCTACGGGCAGGATATATGACATTTTATAGGTTGGTACGATTAATTTGGCCCGCCCTTCCTATCGTAACAAAGTCGTTACCCATACTAAAATTTGGCAGCCCCGTTTTGTGAGAAAAGGGAAAAGACGCCAGTAGGAGGCGTGTATTCCGTACAGAGTATACGGAGTGGCCAGAGTTTTACGCGTACTGACGACTCTAGGCCTGCACGTGCATCCTCTCCGACAGGGGGGATGTGTGAGTGTGTGCGCGATTGACTAATTGCCGTATGAGAGCCAGTCAACGCCAGCTTCTTGAAGTTGATTGGAGGATTACGGAGTTTGGGCGCCTGTGGTCTTCTGCCCGTCTGTGCGCGTGCTCCACCCATTCGTAAACCGTGATCACACGATTCCTACTTCGGCCTATGTTCCGCAGGTGGGGGCGAATGGACGCTTGAGGTACTACAGCTCCTCCTACGATCAGACGAAGAACAAAGTGAAGGGCGCGCAGTCCTATCAACGATGAAATGAACCTTTTGTTTCAGCAGACACGCGTGCCGGATAGCATGTATCGGATTGTGAATGAAGTTACTCGGACCCCAGGCAATGCCGCTGCTGGCACGTGCAGGAATGAAGTCTG